TCCTGTTAAACAGATCTACTTTTTTCAAGTATGTCATTAAAGCATCATATATTTTATAATGATTCAAGCCATTATTCAACAAAGTTTTAAGTGTAATATTTTCTATGCCTATTTCTTTTAATTCTTGCAACAGAAATGCTCTTTCATTATCATAAGCAGAACAATGTACTACTGTTTCTGGTAATCCACACAGACTACAGTTCCCAGACTCATGCTTATTCATTTTATATAGAGAAGAATGTAAAGCAGTATGGCCAATGCCAAGTCTGGTAATATTTGTATCTTCTCTTCTACTACCAAAATGAACTCTTTCAACCCCAACTTGATTTTGAATATGATAAAGATGTCTTCCTCTCTCCTCATTCCAAACTTCTTGCCATCTCATTTTTATTGCTGTTCTAATTTTAGCCTTAACTTCTTCTTTGCTTAGTGGTATAATAATTTCTATATGTGATCATTTCAGTGCCTGTTTTGCTAAATGATCCGCAACCTCATTTCCATCCACTCCCACGTGTGCTGGAACCCACAGGAAACATATCTTAATTCCTATCTTATTCACTCTATACATACATAAAAGAATTTCATACAAAATGTCTTGTCTTGAAGATCTTCCACTGATAAGACTTGATAATGCAGAGAATGAATCTGAACATATCTCATTTTTTTTAAAAACCCTCTAAATCATGTCACCTACTTAAATGACAAATTAATATCTAGACAAAAAAGAATATGGTATCTTAGTGTATCTTTTAAGATATGTTCCTCGTGTTTTCACTGTAAAGTGTTCTGCAGATAAAAGTGGTTAGACGTAATTATGACATTTTAAAACACATCAGGAGCATCACTCTGAGTTACCTAAAATAATAAAAGAGAGACTAGTCATTGTGCAATATAGTTTATTTGTTATTATTTCGACAAGGCTTAAGTTGTTTAACAGAAACACACACACACACACTAACAACAACAATAACAATAAAATGGAAATGGGCGTCTGAACAAAAGAATGCCCCTGACGAAGGAATTTAACTGTCTAATTGTAATGAATGGTGTTACACTTCATAACAGGCAAACGTTAGAATTAGCAGGGAAATCTGACTCTATGTTGCGATTGAACAGGACGTCACGTACATTAATACGTATTTGATTACAAATGATCTAATTAACATGGTGAAATGAACGTTGCTTGCAGAAAGACAGCAAAACCACCATAAGCTGACTTGCTTAGCCGGGGCGAAATCATGACGTCATGATTTTAGTACTGAAGTTTTAGGGTTGCCAGGATATTTAAAATGAAACCGCGCAATTGCTACTACAAACTACCGCTGGAAAACCGCGGACTTGGCAACACTGCGAAGTTGCGCAGGCGCTGTGAGGGGGAAACAGGGAAACTGAATTCACCGGAACACCGGCAATTTTTCTTCATCAAAATGTACCATTACAGAAAGACTGTCCATCCTCTCTTTGTCTCGGGTATATTTCAGCCTCCTCGCATCTATCACTTTTGCTCCTGAAATGCTTTTCTTAATCGTATCTATTGATACATTCGTTGGTATTCCAGTAATAACTCCTCTCATCCATTTCTTTTCTCCCATAACTTGACTAGTAACCTTTTGCCCTAAAATAGTCTTAATCCCTAGAGCAGCCTTTTGTTGTTTACTGTCTTTGCAGAAAATTATCATTTTTCCATCTCGCAACATCTTAGCACTTTCAATATTTCCTACCATTTCCTTCAGTGACTTAGTCAATTTCAAGGGATTCAAACTACTTGCTTCTTCCGACATAAACTTCACCAATACCTTAAACTCCTCCTTTCTTGTTCTCATCTGATGACATTCTCTCTCACTTTCTGTTCCTGATGTTTGGCTCCAATCTTTCCTTCTTTTCCGCTTTTCTACTAAAGTCCACTTACTACTTTTGTTTCTTTCATTTCCCCAGCCATCTACATCCTCCAAATCCAGATCACTTCCGGACTCTTCTTCTTCTTCTTTTAAATTTAATGGCGGTTGGCAAACCAACTTAAATGGTGCATTCCCGCCACCTACTGGATAGGAGTGTGGAGCGCATAATGATTGGAAGTTTGAGAACTATAGCCAAAAACCAAACAAAACAAACAAAAAACAATTTTAAACCACAAAAAAAAAAAAAACATATATATATAATATTTTTTCTTTTTTTTTTTTTTTTTTCCTTTCTTTTCCCCTTTTTCCTTTTTTCCTTTTTTAATACAACGCCAATTATTCCCGCTTTATTTACTACAACTGTATCCTACATTCTATTGATCAGTCTTGTTTCTTTTAAGAAAATTATTAATTCATGAAATATTCTTGATTGCTTTGGGCTATTTCCTAACAGAACCTGAAGTGACAAATTATTTATTCCGAATGATCCTAAAGCTTGAATTAGTTGAAATCTTGCTCCTTCATATGCAACACACTCTATAAGTACATGTTCTACTGATTCTGCATGACCACATTTGTCACACTTTCCAGTTTCATGCTTCCCCATTCTATACAGACACTGATTTAACAGACAATGTCCAATACGCATTCTTGACATTAAAACGTCTTCTTTCCTGTTGCCAAACTTTCTTCTTTCTTGACCTACTTTCTCTTGAACATGATGAAAGTGTCTACCTTTTGTTCCACTATCCCACTCCTTCTGCCATTTCTTTCTTATTTCATTTGCAATTAACCCTTTTACTTCTGCTTTACTCATTGACACTTTAATGTCAATTTGTGCATGTTTCAGAGCCTGTTTAGCCAGATGGTCTGCCTCCTCGTTTCCTTCCACACCCATATGTGATGGTACCCACAGGAAATTTACCATAAGACCAGATTGTCTTATTCTAAATAGACTCTGCATCACTTCAAAAATGATATCTTGCCTTGCTGTTGAAATTCCACTTAGCAAGCTATTTAAAACTGAAAGGGAGTCTGTACAAATTACTGACCTTATTGGCTGTACTTCTTCTATCCACTGAAGAGCTAGGAATATTGCTATTGTCTCTGTCGTATAAACAGATATGTGATCTGAAATTCTTTTTGAAATTTTGACTTTGAATTGGGGTATGTAGACTGCTGCTGCTGTTATTCCAGACTCAGGATCTTTAGAGCCATCCGTGTATATTTGCAATATGCTATAATAAGTTTGTTCAATGTATTGCTGCACTGCTATATTTGTTAACATACTTCTTTCCTTGTTATGTTTTTCTTCATATACTGACGTCTTCTTCTTTTTCTTTTGGAGTTTTATGGCGGTTGGCAAACAAACGATAGGTGCATTCCCGCCACCTATTGGGCTGGAGTGTGGACCATTGATGGAATAGGAAGAACTACAAAAATAAATTAATTAATTAATTAAAAATTAAATCTAAATCCTGTTAAATAGATCTACTCTTTTAAAAGAATGTCATTAAAGCATTATATATTTTATAATGATTCAAGCCATTATTCAACAAAGTTTTAAGTGTAATATTTTCTATGCCTATTTCTTTTAATTCTTCCAACAGAAATGCTCTTTCATTATCACAAGCAGAACAATGTACTACTGTTTCTGGTAATCCACACAGACTACAGTTCCCAGACTCATGCTTATTCATTTTATATAGAGAAGAATGTAAAGCAGTATGGCCAATGCGAAGTCTGGTAGTAATCGTATCTTCTCTTCTGCTACCAAAATTAACTCTTTCAACCCCAACTTGATTTTGAATATGATAAAGATGTCTTCCTCTCTCGTCCGTATTCCAAACTTCTTGCCATCTCATTTTAATTGCTGTTCTAATTTTAGCCTTAACTTCTTCTTTGCTTAGTGGAATATTAATTTCTATATGTGATAATTTCAGTGCCTGTTTTGCTAAGTGGTCCACAACCTCATTTCCATCCACTCCCACGAACCCACACGAAACCTATCTTAAGTCCTATCTTATTCACTCTATGCATACATAAAATAATTTCATAGAAAATGTCTTGTCTTGAAGATCTTCCACTGATAAGGCTTGATAATGCAGAGAATGAATCTGAACATATCGCCGCATTCATTGGCCGAGTATCCTCCATCCTCCATCTAGATGCAATTTAACCATAACATCTTTTGCTATTGCTGTATTTTTGTCATTAATCACTTCTTGCAAATTAAAGTCTAATAACGGTAAAGGGAATAACCAGGGTGAAATGGGTGACTCTACTACTGTAGGGCTTATAAATGTATTTTTAAAATATATATTTACAATAAGGGAACATTCTATTTATTTAT